ATGTGTATATGTGAGTACCTGCTTATATGTATGTGTACATGTCTGCAATACACATTGCATGCTTAGATGCTCTCAGAGGTCAGAAGAGGGCATCCAAGCCCTGGGGAACTACAGTTACAGACTAGTGAGCCACCACGTGAATGCTGGGAACTGAACCTAGGCCCCCTGCAAGAACAGCAAGTCTTCTAAACTGTGTAGCCATCTCTCCAGCCCTGAGTCCACTTCTATACAGCAGGGCACAGGGCTCTTGTTTCATATGGTTGTCCAGTTGTCCTGTTTGGTGAAGAGAATGCCTTTTCTCCAAAACATGGCTTTGGCAACTTTCTTGAAAATGATGTGCATGAAGTCACATGATTTTACTTTTGGGGTCTCTCTCTCTCAAGACAGAGTTTCTCTGTGTAGCTTTGTAGACCAGCCTGGCCTCAAACTCACAGAGATCTGCCTGCCTCTCTCTCCCCGAGTGCTGGGATTAAAGGTGTGTGCCACCACTGCCCAGCCTGGGTTCTCTATTCTATTACATCGATTTACATGTTTTTGGTTTGTTTTCATTGGAGTTTGTAGATCACGTTAGATAAGTTATTTTCGCTATGTTAATTCTACCAGTTTTTGAGCAAGGGAGTGAAGGAGACCCCTACATGTGGGGGGCGGGGGAGGTTCCTCCTGGACCCTGGATTAGGTACAAACACCACATCCAAACACCTGTTTTCACAGAAAGCCTTTATTAATCACAGAAGTTAATATGGCTGCTTTCCGACTCAGAAAAACTGAAGCAAATGATCTTGCAGGTATAATTGTTTGTTGTTTTTTGTTTGTTTGTTTGTTTGTTTTTCGAGACAGGGTTTCACTGTGTAGCTTTGGAGCCTATCCTGGCACTCGCTCTGGAGACCAGGCTGGCCTCGAACTCACAGAGATCCGCCTGCCTCTGCCTCCTGAGTGCTGGGATTAAAGGCGTGCGTCACCAACGCCTGGCATTAATTTTTTCTTTTTTTATGTACATTGGTGTTTGGCCTGCATCTCTATGTGAGGGAGTTGAATCCCCTGGAACTGGAGTTACAGACAGTTGTGAGCTGTCATGTGGATGCTGGGAATTGAACCTGGATCTTATGGAAAGAAAAAATAATGCTCGTAACTATTGAGCCATCTCTTCAGCCCCAACAGCTGTAATTTTTAAGAGGACCAAAAACTGGGAGGTCTGTGTTAGGATGGGTTAGGATGCTGTGGGAAAGGAGACAGAAGATAAGGGAGGAGGGGAAGGAGGCAAGGGAAAGGGGGAGGGGCATTTGTCCCAAGGGGACCCAGGACTGCCTCTAGATAGAGACAGATTGGCACATAGGCAAATGGCAGTTTATAAAGGTAAAGGGGGAAACCCCGTGTTAGGATGAGGTGTTTAATTTTTATTGGACATGTTAATTGGGTGAACCAAAGGGGGCTTCTGATTCCTGGACTTTGGTTGTCAGCCTCAGGAGGAAGTGGCCATAGGGGATAGTCCTTGGTGGCTAGCTTTAGAAATGTAATCTAATGTTTTTTTAGGAAGGAAGAGAGAAGGGGGGAGAAAGGCAAGACCTGCCAGAGCCATGCTTGCCATGATCAAGATGGTCAGAGTCCCTTCAGGGAGGTCTTTCCATCTAGTGTCTTCCACGTTTAAAAGTTTTTGTTGTACAGATCTTCTTTTGAAGAGGCTGTTTTTCCTTAAATGTATCTTTCTGGTATCTTTTAAAAATAATTGGGTGTCTGTAGGTGCATGGGTTAGCTGGGTCTTCTGTTCAATTTGTGATCTACATGTTTATTTTTGTGCCAGTATCAGGCTATTTTTGTTACTATTTACTCAAGGCAGACTAAGACAGTTACTGTGGTGAGGAGCACTATTCTTTCCAGGCCTTAGCTCTACTACCTGGATGATTCTCCTACTCTTTAGTGTAGTGGTTCTCAACCTTCCCTAATGCTGTGAATCTTTAATACAGTTGAGACCCCCAACCATAAAATTGTTTCCTTGTTACTTCATAGCTGCAATCTTGCTACTGTTATGAATTGTAATGTAAAATATCTGACACCTGGATACTTGATACTTGACCCCCAAAGGGGTTGTGACACACAGGTTGAGAACCACTGCTTTAGAGCATGGAAAGCTGGCTGTCAATTATTTATACAATAACCCTCAATTTTTACAAAGCAAAGAATTGACTATTATTTTTCTCTGCTTTGGCATCAAGTTTCTGAAGAGAAATGATGTTCATAGCCTGAAACTGTTCCTCTGCAGAGATCTAGAGTCTAACTCCTCTTCCAGTGCTGTACTTAGTAAACAAGCTGAGTTTCACCACTGTGGTGTAGTCTGTATCAGAGCCAGTAAAAGCCATTCGACCCCAGCTTTTCTGTGTCACTTCATGTCTGTCCTTCATTCCTTCACTCGCCGCAGACTGGTCAAAGTGCCAAGAAACAGCATGACATATCCCAGCCATTGCATCCTTCATGGCTGGGCCCATGATGGAAAAGACACTGGGAACCTTACTAACCTCTAAGCACTTAGGGATGAGGTTTCCTATCTTTTGGCTTGGGGCATTTTTGATTGTTTTGTTTCTGAATCAGGGTCCTATAACTCTAGTTAGCCTAAAATTCTCTATGTAGACCAGGCTGGCCTTGAGTTTGCTGTGATCTTACTGTCTCTGCCTCTGCTAGGATTATAGGCATGTGCCACGGTGCCTAGCTAGGTAGGCACTGTATATTGAAACAAAGAAATTCACAAGAGTTACTGAATGGGAGCTGAGGAAGCCCTGAATGGATGTGAATTGTTGACATGGGCACAGCCATGTTAAGGACCCAATACCTCGGACCAATGGGAATGGCAAGGCCTTCCTCTAGACCAAGTGTAAATGTTCACATTGAGGGCAAGTACAAGTGTTTAGGAATAACTTACCAGTGTGTGCAAAAACTAGCCAACTACAGCTTCCTTCTCCTGGATGTTTACAGCCTGAGACTATGTCCCTGCAAAGATCCACAGAGATTAACTCCTCTCCCTGTACTGCACAAAATAAACCAGCTGAGTTTGACTATTGCATTCTCGTGTTCTACCTGAGCCAGCACAGACCACATCATGACCCGAGCCTTTCTGTGTCACTGTGCTTCTGTTCTTCATCCCTCTCTTGCCAGTCAGGTCAAAGTGCCAAGCCTCTATGGATGGAGAGGCACTGGAAAAAGCATAGCTTCATTAAAATGTTGATGTTTCACTGAGAAGAGACAAAAGCAAGTCATAAAACCCTTTCAGCAACTCTCTCACATGATTGGATGGATAAAGTTGGTAATGGTGATAAATCATATAAATTTTATTTCCTCTTACTGCCTGGTACTTTTAAATGAATTTTTTTAGACTAAGAAAAAATTTCTAACATTAAAGTATATGAAGTATAGAGTCTCTGCCAACTTTACTTGTGATGAGATTAATACCTAGAATACATCATAAAGAACTTTTTAAATCAAATACCAACATCCCCAATGGGCCAATCAACAGGCAAAAAAACTGAACAGTTTTCAAAAACAATTACAAATAGTTGCATTAACACTCAATTAAAAAATTTTTTTAGATTTTTTTTTTTTTTTTTTTTTTTTTGGTTTTTCCAGGCAGGGTTTCTCTGTGGCTTTGGAGGCTGTCCTGGAACTAGCTCTTGTAGACCAGGCTGGGCTCGAACTCACAGAGATCCACGTGCCTCTGCCTCCCGAGTGCTGGGATTAAAGGTGTGCGCCACCAACGCCCGGCTTCAATTAAAAAAATTAATGGCTAATAAATACATAAAAACTGTTCAACACCCTTAACCATCAGAGAAATACAAATTAAAAAAATTAATGGCCAATAAATACATAAAAACTGTTCAACACCCTTAACCATCAGAGAAATACAAATCAAAACTATGTTGAGATTGCATTTCACCCATTCAGACTGGCTATTAAGAAAACAAATGCCACTGAAAATGTGTGGGAAGAGAAACACACATTGTTGGCGGGATGTAGTTAGTGCAGACACTGTGGAAATAAGTTCTAGTGAAACTAGAACTACCATATGGCCTAACTATACTCTTCCTGGGAAGACACCTGGGGGAATCTAAACATACCACAGAGAGACCTACACATCTATGTGAATTATAGCAGAGCTAGTCACCATAGCCAGATTCTGAACTAGCGTACTAAGTCTATCAGCTGATAGATAATGTTGCACATATACACAATGGCATTTTACTCATATATAAAGAACGCAACTGTGTCGTCATCTGCAGGGAAATGGATGAACAGGAGGCCATGTTAAGCAAAGTAAGCCAAGCTCAGAAAGACAAATACCAAAGCTGGGTGTGGTGGCACACACTTTTAATTCCAATACTAATTAAGGCAGAAGGACTGCTGCAAATTCAAGGCCAGTCTGGGCTAGCAAAGCAACCCACCATGAGCTTCAAGGGCTGAGGAGAAGGCTCAGTGGTTAAAAGCTGTTGCAGAGAACCCAAGCTGGTTCCCAGCACCCACATGAGGTGGCTCAGAACTGCCTGTTAACTCTAGCTCCAAAGAGATCTGACCTCTCAGGCCTTTGCACATACAAATACAAATTAAATAACCGTATTTTTAAAAGAACCCTTGCCACACTGGTTTCTCACATTAGCATACCCTTTATTCAAAGCGCGCACACATACACGTACAGCAGCTCTCAGTGAAGAAGAAGGAGACCAGGAGGAAGGGGACAGAGGGTAATGGGAAAGAAATGTACATGATGAAAATGTCATGACAAAACCCATCACTTCCTACAACAAATAAACTAGTGATAAAAAGGAATGAAGTACTGACTTGTTTTACAAAGTGAATGCTGAACTCATGCAAAGTCAGATAAGCCAGATACATATCACAGTTCTATTTATGTAAAAACATCCAGAATGGGTGAACCTACAACAGAAAGATTGGTGATTACTATGGGCAGGGAGAAAGGGGAGGGAAGGAGGAGGAGCAACTGCTTAACTGGCAGAGTTTGTTTTCAAGTTTAGAAAAATGTTCTAGAACCAGGGGAAGTGAAAGTTGTCCAATATATTATGAATACCACTGAAACATACACTTAAAACGCTAAAATTTAACACATCAATTTCAATCCAATTATAAAATGCACAAGTCTTACACAATTCACTAAGTTTTAGCAAGCATGTAATCCACAAAACAACACCCAAGAGTGTAGCGTTACTATCAACCCACAAGGTTTCTCCTTTACCATTGTTATGAAGGCAACCACAGCTGCTTTCGGCACCCATAGCTGAGTTCCCCTCCAAATTTCAGTTAACTATATAATATGCCTTCCTATGTCTGGTTTCTCTCAGTGCTTTGGGTCACAGGTAGATATGCTGTCTTTAAAAATTGCTTCAAGGGTTCAATCATGATCAACATCTTATGCTTACACAAGTCACATATGCAAGCTGCAACGGCTTTACCCATTCCAATTGATCCACAACTACCTTTCACTCTTAACTGTCCTCCTGTTACCTCATTGTGATCATGACTTTAATTTCTACATCTCATGAAATGGGTAGTGAGTGTGTGTGTGTGTGTGTGTGTGTGTGTGTATGTGTGTGTGTGTGTGTTGTTTCTTAATCAGCTTTGGGCCAAGTAGTACAGCTCAGCAGCAGAGCACTTGCCAGGACTGAAAAATGAAAAAAAAAAAAAAAATTAAAAAGGAAAGAAAATCAGCTTTATTTATTTACATATATACTTATTTCAACTATACAATTTTGAGGTCTGCCAACTATATGTGGTTGTTATGGTACCCACAATTAAGACATTTCCAATGTGCCTCTTTACAGTCAATCCCCCACTCCCCTCCATCACCTACAGGCAATCCTCAGCAATTCCTGCCTTCTATGACAATCATTTCCTTTTCTAGAATTGAATCAGAAAGCATATACACCTGTTTCTGGCTTTTTTTTCACTTATCCCAGCTTTTCCTCTTATGTCTAAACAGTATATCCTGAACAGATGTACTAACTTGTTTTTTCAGTAACTGCTGGCCACACAGGCTGTTCGACTTTTTAAACTACCAAACTGTCAATCAATGGGCCTGTGCATCCTTGTCAACAATACAGGCACTTCACAATGACTGTGCATTTCCAGATCTGGGTATTTCAAACTTTAAACTTGTTAGTGTTAAGTTTGACTTGTGCCTCTAGCAGCTGATAGGGTTCTAAACTTTCAAGCTAATTATCTTGATCAAATCCACAGCTCTAATCTCCCATGGGCACAATCAAAGCACAGTTCTCCAGTCAATGTGAGGGTTGGTTCTAGGACCTCCCAGATATCAAAGCACACAGATGTTCCAATCCCTTAGGTAAATGGAGTAACTCCTGCCGAGTTTAACCTGCACACATCCTCTGATGGACTTCGAATGGCATCTGGATTAAACTATCATACCCAATACAATGGGAATGTTATACAAATAGTTGTACTGCTTAGGAACACCAATGTAACAAGATGGGTCCTGCCAGACACAGCCACCACAGGCCTGAGAACATTTGCTGAGCTGACACAGCTCTGCCCTGAACCACCTGGCTCTGATACTGCTACTCCAAGAGGGAAGTAGTTTGGTAATCATTTTGATGTTTCAGGCTTTTTTTTTTTTTTTTTAGATGTCTTACACCCAATTTAATCCCCATAACTACATCTAAGAGATTGATATACCTGGTAACTAAACTGAAATTTAGAAGATATGAAAGCATTTTAAAGGTTGACCTCTCCAGTGGTAACAACCCCCAGTATTCCAAATCTCAGCACATTCTGATGGTTAAGGCACACATGGGTCTTAGAATGCCGAAATATTAATCCCACTGTGGTCTCTCACGTAAGAAATCTGTTAAGACCAACTTAAGACTGCTTGCTGCTCCCACTGATCTGAAGCTGATGGAGGGAGGTCAAAAGAATCCACACAGGTCGTTAGGTATTAGAAGAATGTTTAAGGCTAAGCATGGCTGGAGAGGCTGTCCCAAGTGACAAGATACAGTTCTCTAAAATCCATCATTTCCAGGACCAAAGCAAACTACACAGTGGAGCCTAATCAGAGGGAGCCTTCAGTACTAGCAAGAAGCCAATGGGAACACTCTTTAGTAGCCTTTGGCCATCACCTTATTCCAGGTAACTAATTCAGCTGAAGAACGTGGAAATCGCTGTGTGTGGATTAATCTTCTTCACTGGCCCTCAACAGTGCTGAATTGCCACAGAAGCCACCAAGAATGTTCTTTGGCTGTGGTGATAGGAAGTCACTTTCAGCAAAACAGCTGCCACCCTAAGAGTGGACCTGGTGACACCATCCCCTGGTGCAGTTGCTAGGTCCACACAGCAGGCCTCTAGCTCCTACTTGACTCGGGATCTGTCTTCTGTGCTGTTTGGCTTTAGATACCAGGAATGCACTCACTCTTGTTATTCTTTGCCAATCAGGGTTCTTGGGATAACCAAATTACCAATTCACATACATATTCATAATGCTTAATGCTCCCCTCCGTGGGACACTTACATGCTGTAAAGGTGAAACCAGACAAGTGATTCCCATTGGAGTGCTACCATTCAAAGGAATAATGAAAACTGTAATTAGTGAACACTAGGTGAAGGATGATGGGGTGTCTAGACACTGTTCTGGCCTCTTCTGGGACATCTCTGTAGTTGTTCCCATCAAGGAAAGGTTTATTGGCTTGCCTCTACTGCCTAAATGCTGGGATTAAAGACAAGAGCCACCACACCATTTCAAGGGAAGATTTTTACATTTCTTGCACAGAACAGTCCCCAGTCCTTTTGTTTGGTTTAAATTTTCACAACTCTGCAGGGTAGGTCTCATGTTCTTGCTTGTCTCAGGAGCCTTTGCTTCCATTCTTCTAGAGGCTGGGGAAGTCCTTAACTTGGGAAAACAACGATGCAGTCTAATAAATATGTACTCAACTACACTTCCAAATTTAAAACTTTCAAAACCCATTATTTTTTAAAAATCCCTCATTCAATTGAATGCTATCTATTGTTGACTAGCCAGTGCTAAAATATGCAGTGAAATAATTTATCAAAATTTCACTCTCTTGAGAATGAGACGTAACTCCCACTAACAAAACAGATCCATCAGCTTCAAATGTAATGAAGATTCAATAAATACAGTGTGTGGTTGGGCCCAGCAACACATGCATACAGACTATAGCATTTATGAGGCAGGCCTGGGTCACCTCAGAACACAAAACAGAAACTGCCAGTGTACTGCTCTCATTGAGGGCAGTACACTGCCCAAGTCCCTACCCCTGGTGGACCCCAGACTGCTACAGTACTGTTCCTTCTCTGCAGTTGCAGGGTTGGAAACTGTGATGGGGATCCTCAGAGGCAGGCTGAGGAATTAAGTCCATTTTCAAGGAGTAAACTGGCTTAAACAGGCCTCTGCACCAAAGACATGCATTGGGCGTAATGTTGAGTAAAGGCCTATTTTCTCCTGGGCAGACTATGTCCCTTTGTCACATGTGCACTAGAATACTGTAACCATGAGGACAAGAGGGTGTTGGCTGTTGATATCAGATTTTCCAGGATGGCCATGGACTCTCCCTCCCACTGTGGACTGACTCTGAAACAGAAAGTACTGCTTAGAACTCTGCCATCCAGCTTTCTTCACAACTGTCAACACAACCTTAGGACTGACCGCCATGTCTACCTACTCTGTGACCTTGAACCCAGTCAGGTCTCTCTTATCTTTCCAGGCTTCATGCCAATTGGCCACAGGACTCTGGGAGTCATGACAAGAGAGTCTCCCTCTTTCCAAAGCTCAGAAGAATGAGGATGAGACCAGGGTGATTCTCAGTTGCTGGGCTTCCAACCTGTTGTACAAAGGGCAAAGCTTGCTTATCAGACCATAGGGCCAATTGGCTTCTTATATGTCCCACTGCTAGACAAACTAGAGACTGCAGGTCCCAGGGAGGAGGGGAGTGCTAGGCTAAGGAGGGCCATTGCTCTAGTGAAACTCTCCCACCTTGGGCTTCCCTGGGCTCTACTTCCCCACATTGGGGAGGACAGCAATGCTTCTGCTTCAGGGGCTAGTGTGCTTGGAGAGCTGTATGCACAGTTAACTCAGTGTTTATTCAGTGCTTAGAGTTCACTGAGTCCCGAAGGGAGGTAGATTTAACTGAGTATAGACTGTCAGAGATAAGAAGTCTGTCCAACAAAAATGATTGTGTTAAAACCCACCTGCCAAGGCACCAAACCCTGCTTAAAGCAAAACAGACTATAAGACTTCCTGTATTGAGGGGAAACAGCTCATTCCACCCTCCTCTATATAACCATGACTAAAATTATCTGGGCTCCTTCAAGGGAGCCCTGGAGAGTCACAGAAGATGGAGGGCTACTGACTAAGTGGAACCTTAACTGCAGATATGTTATGGAGGTCACCCCAAGACCAGGATGCCTGTCATGGTTTCCCCTGCTTTGTCTTTGAAGAAGACTGGAGGTTTCTAAAAATGGCTCTTTAAGACAAGGATGTGCAGGGGACAAAAGACTTAAGGAAATCAGGACCTTTTAGGAATTCCTCTCAATTACAGAACAAGAGACTTCTGTGTGTTTAGCACATTTTCTCCTCTTGAGCAACAACTCAAGCCCTATACCAGGGCCTCAAATAAATCACACATGGCTCTCAGAGTAGAAACCAAACCCTGCTTTATAAGGCTGCTTGGCCGCCACTGGCTTCTCTACTGAGATATGAGGTGCCAGCCAGGCAGTGAGGTGACAGAGGGTGGAACCTTCCTCACCTTCTCCCCATCACCACCACCCCTCCAGCCCTCCAGATGCCCGCATCTACAATAGAACCACTTCAAAAAAATACTCTGATGAGGGGCAAAGTGGAGGCGGGTAGAGGCTCAGGCTCATTAGCAGGTCGGTTCCCTTGAGGTAGCTGAGTGCTCCTGTGCAGACCAGTCACAGGCTCACAGCAGTCAGGAGGGAGTCACTGGCTGACTGGGAAGTGGAGGAAGCACAAAGTCTGGAATTGTGCCCAGAGTACTTGAGTACAGGTAACACCTGGGTAGAGTGGTTGGACTCTTTGCTGGTGTCCTCATTGTTCTTTGAGGATGAAATCTTCCTGGATAAGGGGGAAAGACCAGCATGACTCTTCTTGGGCTTGGGTAGTATCCCATCTTCAGAGGACAGCATGTTTCCCTCGGAGCAGCTTTGCTTTCTGAAGGCAAAAACATAGCTGAAGCTAAGACTAACATGTAATTTATGCCCCTAGAGTCTAAGGCAAGTACCCACAAAATTATGGCTGTGGACACTACTATATGGACATTCTAGTAGCCATAAAATACTTTTTATTACTGTGGCACTGAGAACTGAAGTGCAATGACCAATTGGAGGAAATGGTAAGAGGCCTCAGGACTTCCTACAGAAGGTACAGCTAAAAAGTGTCTGTTTCTGCAGATGGGTCTTTCCTGAGCATCCCAAACATCACCAGGAAGAAGATATTGAGGTTGTATATTCCTAAGTGGAGAAATCCTTTTGCTGTGGCAGTCTGGGGTAGAGGAAAAAAACTCCAACTCCCCAACTCAATAGAGCCCTCTCTCGCTGAAGTAGCACTCACCTTGACTTGATGCGTTCTAATTTGCTGATGGCACTGGGTGTCCCATCACCCTTTGAGGCAGTCATGATCGATGTTGGCAGAGACCACTATGAACAAAGGGCCAGGTTGAGTCCAAAAATTAATGTTTAGGGAGGGCCTTAGGGTTCTTGTTCATCTCTGCCACTCTGTGAACACAGCACCCTCACCTGCCCTATGCTACATCATGGATTCATGCAAGTAACTCTTGGTTCTCTCCCGAAAGAGACAGAAAGTAAGGCTATAGATCAATTTTTGATCCTTCAAAGGCAGGCATCCAGTGCATTCTTGTAAATAACTACATCCTTGAAAGGGAGACAAAGAGGTGGGGACTAAGAGATAAGGGAGAAGTGGGTACCCACATGCCCATAAGCCAACCACAATGCACTCAGGAGTGTGAGAAACTTCACCTTATACTGGCACACTTACCAATGGAGCTGAGTCAGAGACAATCCCCGTGTGGAAGCCTTTGTAGCACCAATTCCGGAGCAGATCTACTCCTAGGACAAGATGAACATGATTGGGACTTAACAGGGAAGAAGCAACTGCTTACCTCCTTTCCAAAAAATCCTATCTCTTGGCCTAATGGGATTTAATCTCCTTCTAAATATGGTCTCCTGTGGGCCAGAAAGGCATATCACCTTTGAGCTTGTTTCCATGGTACTTCTGTTCCCACTGGGTGGTGAGAATGTTGAAATATCGTGGCTGCTCAAAAAAACGAAGATAACGAGAAGAGATTCGAGAAGGAAAAATTCTTTCAAATTGACCACGACGAGAAAACTCATCTTCCATCTCGACCAGAACCCGAACATCATCTGGTGTCAAGACATCCAGCACAGACGCATAGAAGTCCTGTGGCCCAAGGAATAGGAAGAAGGGCAATGTGTGTGACAGTGTGAGCCAGACATTGAGACAAGCAGCTGGGTTAGGGAGCAGAGCTCTGGGGCACTAGGTCTCCAGGACTCCTGGGGGACTCCCTATGTCACCTGATCTGACGTGAGCCAGATTTTACCCTATCCCTTCCTGAATCCAACGGTCTGAGCTCTTGGGGGAAGACACTGATGGCTAACGCCAAGGAACCATTTGGGCTGAGGTAGAAGAATGAGCTATTGAGTCAAGGTTGGTGCCCAGCAACTCAGATTTGGCAGCCTATGCCTACCTTTCTCACATCTGGGTCCCACATTTACTTTGAGAAGTTCAATCCTCCTGGGTCTTCCAATGACTCTCAGGAAAGTAAGTTCATAGGGGTTAAATGTGATGGTTTTCACAAGAGTGAACTAAGATAGCACAATGCTAAAAGCATGGTGACAACCATCCACTTTTCCAGAAAGATACAGGTGCCAACAAATCTGCGTATCACAAGATCCCAGTTCTTGGTAAGAAACTCTGATCTAGACAGGAAAGCTGATCTTCCTGGAGCCTCTGATGTTTGACTGAGAGCTGTTGGTAACTGGAGAGAAAATAAATCTCCTACCTGGTCGGGAATTTTCTGTGTCAGGTAATAGGCTTTCTTCATCTTCTGTGCAGTAAAATGCTCTGGAGTCATTTGACATTTGTCCCTAGGAGAGCTTGGCAGGCTAGAGACGAACAAAAAGCAACAGGCAAGTCAGCAGCTTCTTGTGCTGAGAAAACACAGAGAGAGGATCCAGTGCGAGACTCCTTCCCAAGCACAGATGAAGACACATGGAGACGCTTGTCCCTTCACCAGATCACTCTAAAGTACACTCTATCCAAATAGCTTGTCATCCACAACCAAGTGCCACGAGATAACTCAAAGAGGCAGGCACACCAATTTGACAAAAGCCTGGAGTGAGTCTGATTATTTGACCCTTCGGTTAACATGCACTACAAACCAAGCTCTGCCCTGCTGGCTGGAGAACCCTGGGAAGACGCTTCCTTTCCCATACTTCAGTTTCATTATCATCACTGTATCACTATTCTTTTTTAAAACTTTATGAGACAGAGTCTAAGTCTGGAACTCAAGATGGCCAGGAACTCACTATATAGTTCAAAGCTAGCCTTGAATTCATGTCAATCCTCCTGCCTCTTTACTTACGGAATTATAGATATGGGCCAGTACATGGCTATGGTCACTGTTGAGATATAAAAATGGCTAGCAGGATAGTGAGATGGTAAGGGTGTTTGCCACCAAGCCTAATGACCTGAGTTCAACACCTGGAATCTACACGTATCTGGTATCCCAAGAAACTTTTTCCCAAAGGATCCTGAAGAAAGTTCCTACTTGATTTAAAAAAAAAAAAAAAAAAAAAAAAAGAAAAGAAAAGAAAAGAAAAAAAAGCCATTTTCCCTATCTCTGGCAAAAGGAACCTGTGGCTCTTCTACTAACATATGACTGTGGTGCCTACTGACTTGTCAAAGTCAATGCTAGCCTCTAGGCTCATTAAGTCCTTGCTCACAAGCCCCATCCCAGCTCACAAGCTCCCTTTCTCCGTTCCCACTAATCCATCACTTCTCTCTGCTTTCCCTGGGAGACAGCCTCAGCAGCTTAGAGTAAATGTCCCCTCTCACCCAGAGTAGCTTTTCTTTCCTGCACTCACTTTTCATTCTTCTGGAGCCAAAACCCCAGGAGCAGCATAAACGGGCTCCCTTCCATCAGACTTGGCTATCCTAAGCCAAGCTGCTGATCTGACTCTCCTAAGGTATGTACAGATCAATTATTTCTGCTGGCTTTTGCCACCCACCATATTTGGCCTCATTCCAAATTCTAGAGTCTACCTCTCCTTGTTTCTTTGGCTCCTGGAGCTTGCTATGCCCACATGACAACGTCTCTCTAGTGGCTAAGTGTCACCACAGAGCAGCCTGCTTTGTTTACTATTACTACAAAAGCCACACCAGAGTGCCAGGATGCTCCTGCCACCACCCCTTACGTTCCACTCACAAGGACAAGGCACACCTTTCCTCTGTGAATTGGAACATTTCTCATTTTGCTCAGGGACACAGCAGATGGAGATCCTTGTCACAAGAACACTTCGTCCACCTCAGCTCAACTCTCTTTCTCTCATCTTCTTCTAAGAACAACAACTCCACCTGCAGTCCCACTAGGCTATCTCTTGGCTCCCACTTGCAGCCTATTCTGTGTTCTGTCTCTCCCTTAAGTCCTCCTAGACTTCTCCTTCCTCAGGCAGCTCCTCCCACAGCTTCTCTAGGTGCCAGCACATCCTGTCTACATGTTTTCTTTTGGAGCTTATAGTAACTCCCCTGTTGCAGAATATTTGTTTACACTGTGAAGATTTAAGGTGCCTTTGCCAGGGCACCTTAATAAAGAGGTGAATGGCCCATAGCTAGGCAAGAAGAGGTTAAATGGGACTTCCAGGACAGAGAGGACTCTGGGAAGAAGAAAGGTGTAGTTCCCAGCCAGACAGGGAGTACAGACAGGAAATGCAAGATAGAAAAGAGGTAATGTCTCATGGCAAAACATAGATTAAAAAATATGGGTTAATTTAAGTTATAAGAGCTATCCGAGACAAGCCTAAACTAAGGGCCAAGCTTTCGTAACTAATATTAAGTCTCTGGGTCATTATTTGTGGGCTAGCGGTCCAAAGATAGTCTGACAAGAAAGCTTGCTACATATACGCCCAACATGGGGCCATGTATATCCATCCTGAGAAAGCTTTTTAAAAAAAGTTCAGAACACAGAGTCAAACATGGCTTCCTGGTGACCACAGTCTCTTGGGTAGGCTCAGCATACAGAGGCAGGGCTCTTTTAAAGGGCCCTGCTGTGCAGCAGAGGACTTGAGCAGGTAAAACAAAACAAAACCCCTACTGATGGGACTCAGCAAATTCTCAGAGCTGGAGCATTAGGCACAAGGCTCCTGCTGGTACAGGCTAACACAAGACTAGGCTCTCATAGAACTAAGGGGGGTGGAGCCAACCACCAGCACCACAGGTCATTTAAGGTTTGTCTCCCATGGTCAGAGAAGGCTATAGACATGCAGTAAAGTGGTCCAGACCAAGAAAACCTGTAAATAGATGCAGTAAAAAATAGGTATAGACAGTCATAAAAAACAGCTTAAAAATAATAAAGTCCTTAAACAAAGAGTAAAGTAATAGAAAAATAATTAAGCCATGGGAAATACACAGGGCATCTGGACCCTCTATGGTGCTTTGTTGACGATGAATCTTTTGAATGTTAATGTACAAAAAAAAAAAAAAAAAGCCACTGAGAGACATTAGATTATGGAAACAACTAAATTAAATGAACCTATATATTTTAAGATTGTCTTAGCTTCAAAATGAAGTCAGGAAATGAGTTGCGTTGGGCAATATGTCTTTGTTTCCACAGGAAACAAAAAGTTATGGTTCTCTTCAAAATTAATAAAGATCAGATTGATTGGGGGAAGACCTAAAAATCTTAGCTATAGACATGAAGACAAAAAAACAAGAAAGACTACAGAATAGACAGCATATATGCTGATCTCTCTACTATGAGACTGGATGAGACATAATCAATCTTGTTGGCTACAGAGTTCTTACGACAGCTTGATTATGCAGTCCAAATGGACTTATAAAGTTGACAGATGCCTTTTACCTCCTCAAATTCAAAACAACAACAACAAAATCACCTTTAGCTGACTTGTGCAAACTGCACAAATCCTTGTGGTAATGCAGATATGTTACCTTTAAAAGTTTGTGTTTTTAGAAAAAAGGACCAGACACAATAAAGACAAGGACCCAGATGATCCAGCCTCCCAGAAGCCTCTGTTGCAGTTTCCTCAAAATTCTGTATCCAGAACAACTTCAAAGTTGCTAGCTGAAATGGTCCACCCTCCAGTCAAGACTTCAGATAAGTACTACACTTTCCCATCACATAGAGAATAAACAAAAAATAACAGAGCTAGCTCTCCCAGGACTAGACTATTAATCCAATTTGCTCAGGGTCCTCTAAAGATTCCAGTATCCTCAGAGAACAGAAAACAGTCTAGAAAACATGACCCCCACATTCCCATGAGGTGGGTGGATGGTTTTTGGACTTTGGTGGGTTATGGATGTTTGTCATCATTTAGGGGGGTTGGTTGGAAATTGTTACTGGACAAAGAAAGGGAGGAAATCAAGCAAGGGAGGAGGTTAGATTGAAGGATCTCTTTCTGGAAAAAAAAAAAAAAGGGGGGGGGGGATATAGGGATGCTGGGATAAAAAGCTGGATATAGGGATGCTAGGATAAAAAGTAGAGGTAGACAGATCTCTGTGAGTTTGAGACCAGTCTGGTCTACGAGAGCTAGGCTCCAAAGCTACACAGAGAAACCCTGTTTCCAAAAGCAAAAACAACAACAAAAAACCCAGAAATTTCTAAGGTTAGAAAGGTATACTCAAGTTAACAGAATGTAACTTAGAAATTTATGTCTAACCACTTATGTTGTTGCTAACTCTGTTCAACACCAGGCTTCTAGAGTAATATTTAAGGAACAGCATAGGTATGTTTGATAAATAAGGCTTATAAATTTTTTTTTAAGATTTATTTATTTATTATGTGTACAACAATCTGCCTCCATATATGCCTGCACACCAGAAGAGGGCACCAGATCTCATTATACATGGCTATGAGCCACCATGTGGGTGCTGGGAATTGAACTCAGGACCTCTGGAAGAGCAGACAGTGCTCTTAACCACTGAGCCATCTCTCCAGCCCAGCTTATAAATTCTTAAGATCTATTCAGGTTCACAGTAATATATGTTTAGCCTCTTTGTCTTTGCTAAGTTTGTTATGCTTCAGCTTTAGCTATTTGGATAAACTGAGTCATTCCTTAACTACCCTAGTACTTACTGAATATTCCCTGTCCCCAAGAGTAGTTTCAAAGCTTTGGAGGTATGAAGGAAAACCTCCACACTGTGGTGTTTCAAAAAGATGTCTAAAACTAGGCTTTGATGATAGATAGGGAATCTGGATGAGGGGCATCTATAGAATGAAGAAACCACATAAGCACAGGAAAGAACACTACCTAGTCCTTAAGGATCTGCCAGGGCACCACAATCAGGCAGAGTAGAAACATACACCCAGGAAAGGTGGCTGGGGCCATCAATGTCCAAGTAAGGAGGTTAAATTTGATCGTTGGGCCCTGTGGAGACTTATGAACAAAAGTAATCAGACTTACTCTCAGGGTACTGGTGTGGCAGTGGTATGTGGACAGACAGCAGGGGCAGACTGAGCCATAAAGGAGACCAAGCAGAAGAGAGGCTCCCGAACCCCTTCCCTCCCCAAATCATAATGTGCTGCTCATGCTGCCACCCCAACCTAGGGAAGCTGAGAAACATACCTGGTGCTTGAGCTGCTGGTGCTGCTGGTGCTGCTGGAACTGGAGAGGATATCCTCCATGTTGGGCAGAACAAAGCCTGCCAGGTTCAGGAGATCTCGGATCATCTGGCCCTTGATGCTGATGTCCAAGGGAGAATTGGAGTGGAGGCTGCAGGGGAAGAATGCAAAACAGGTTCAAAGCAGCATTCCAGAACCATTTTGGGTCCTACATCCAAATCAGGGCTTCTTATTTTCTGACTTCTAAATAAAAAAGAGACTCCAATACCCACATTTGTGAACATCTTCAACAAATATGCTCAGCTGGGTGTGGTGGCTCATGCCTTTAATCCCAGCATTCAGGAGGCTGAGGCAGGAGAATCTCTTGAGTTCAAAGCTAGCCTGATTGACAGAGTGAGTTCCAGAACAGCCAGAAATACAATAGAGGAAACCCTGTCACAACCAACCAACCACCACAACAAAACAAATACCCTCACGAAGCTAGATGAACCTGCCCATGCCCTTAGTTTGCTAGACAATGGTAGGGATCAACAAGGGTTTGATAACCCTTCTCTATTCTCAAAATTCCTTAAGATAACAACAAAGAATCAGTGAGTCAGTAAATACAGACCATGACAGGAAGACACATGTCCTAGTGAAGGAAAGACCTTGCCATGTCAACAAGACAATGACAAAGATTCGGAGGATGAAAGATGGATTCTACTCTGAGTAACTAACAGCACCACCTACCTTGGAGAAATATTGACTTCTAGAACCCAGGGCTTTAGGTTCTCATCCAGCATGATGTCAAAACCAAAGAGTTCATGACAGCTGTAGGGGCGCCGGACATACAACTTCAGTAGGTTGGTCACGTAGGGCTCTGACCTGCCAGTGGGATATCTTGAATTAGGAGGGCAGAAGCAACTTTCTCTTCAAAACTGCCTCCCTGAAGCCCACATAGGGATACATGCATGCAACCCCCATGCAGAAAGCAGGGAAAAGAAGAAGCAGGGAAATTAGGAGTTCCATCTCAACCATTAACACCATCCCTCCCCACCCCAAAACAATGGCTCTTAAGGGATGTGCCTGATCTGAACCATCATCTTGATTAAGTTCGTAAATGAGCAATATGGTGGTTTGAATGAGAACAGCTCCCACAGGCTCATATATATTTGAATAGTTGTTTCCCAGCTGGTGCAAATGTTAGGGAAGGATTAAGAGGTATGGCCTTGTGGGAGAAGGTGTGTCACTAATGGTGGGCTTTGAAATTTCAAAAGTCCAAGCCATTCCTAGTTAGCTTTCTCTGCTTTGTGCTAACTTCCTGGAATCCTAAACTCCAAATTAAATTCTTTCTTTTGTAAGTTGCCTTGGTCATGGTGTTTTATCACATCAACAAAAGAGTAAGCCCCGTCCTCAAAACTGAAACCCAAAATGAATACAGCTTAGAGCATAGCAGAGAGGCAAGAAGAAAATATGAGGGTTCAGCCAAAGTAGCACTGAAACTCACGAGATGATGGTTTTGACAACAACATCCTTTATCTTCTCCCAGATAGCATCACTATTAATTCCCTTCTGGCTCAGATAATTCCACAAAGCCTTCAGTGCCCTGAAGGGGGAGAAGGAAGTATTTAAGGTTATGTCCTAGAAGTGAGTGACAAGAGAAAACAACAAGGAGTAAGGGGCTAAAGATATCTGCTTTGTATCTCCCCAGTGATATTTTGAAATAAGAAAGATGCATCTGGATGCAAACAGACCAATTCTGAAGTGACAAGTGCACTAATACTGCTCAACTACTGCCCCAAACCTCTCAAACGCAAAGCCCTTTCTGGGTTCAAGACAGAGTTTTGATAGGGTACCATTTGTGGCCCTGGCAGGCTGTCTCATCAGCATTGGACTGGTACTCCACATTCTTTTTATTGACACTGTAGTTGGTCAGGTGCATGAACTTGTTGCTAAGACTCTTCATGGAAGGGGAATACCTGGAAGTGAGAAGAATGGCGAGGCAAGATCAGATGGAAAATAGTCTAAATATTTCCCCAGAAAGGAGATAAAGGACAAGGGCACAGATTTGTTCTGTTCCTGAAAGGCCCTTTAAGTTCTAGAAAAGCACAGCTAATCTACTTGGCAACCTCAGTCCCACAGGAACTCTTTCCTCATTTCCCACCCTCCCATCTTCCTTACTGACAAAACCACCAAGTCATCTGTGCCTTTTCTGCTGAGTGTCCTCATCCCAAGGAAAGGAAATCTCCCAGTGTCAGGGGAACACCTCACCACCAGCACATACTTGCAACTGGCAAAGCGGACGAGTCCATCCGAAAAGAGGTAAATCCGTAGAGGATCATAAGAAGTAACATAAACATAGATCCGAAGATCAAATTTGCTGCCACTAATGAGGTAGGGTTTGTGTAGATACCTAGAAAGAGGAAAGGCTAACTTTATACCCAGCCAGATGAATGCACAAGCTGTGGTGAAACTTTCAACAGTTGACTAAGGAAGTTCTTTGGCTGGGAGGTCACAAGGTAGAATACTATAAGAAGGTAATTCAGAGACCAGGAAGGCAGGAAGATGGAGAGGAATGTGAGCTAGATAGGCTCACCTCTGTACCAGGAGGGGCCTGCGCTTGGGGAGCTGACTCCACTTGTGAATGACCTGAATGCCAATGCCTCGAGCAGATGCTGGCTAGAAGTCAAAGGGGAAGGAGATGAGATCTGCTCTGTCTTTCCACTCGTCCCATCACCTACTTCTCCCTTTGCCCACTCACTGGCTTCACAATCCACTTCTGACGGCTGCTGCTCTCCCAGGCTTTGCGCAGGAGTTTGGCATCCTGGGGCAGGATAAAAGACTGGGGGAAGAAACTGAACTCTTTCTTGCCAAAACGGCTCTGCATTCGAGACAGGTTCCGCCACAGTCGGTCCTTCCTACCAATCTGGAAGGAGCCTGGGAAGTGGTTTAGCTACGGAAGGGACAAGAGACAAAGAGAAGGAAAGGGCAGAGGTGAGACCATGAGGAATAAGTTAAGCCCTACCCATCATTCCAACATCCCTTGCAAAGTTCATGTTCCTTTCTATCTTTCTGCTACCATCTAGACACAAACTATAGTCACCTGGAAAGAGTGAGTCAATTAAGGAACTGCCTCCACTTTAGACTAGCCTGTGGGTATGTCTGTGGGGTATTTTCTTGATTAACTATTGAGGTAAGAAGGCCCACGCCCACCTTGGGCAGGACTGTCCCTAGGTAGGTGGTTCTGAGTTGTATGAAAAAGCAAGCTGAGCAAACCATGGAGATGAGCCTGTAAGCAGTGTTTCTCTACAGTCTCTGGTCAGTTCCTGCCTTGGCTTCACTGAGTGATGGACTGCAAACTGTAAGCCAAAGTAAAAGACTTCTTCCCCATACTGCTTTTGGCAAGTGCTTTACCACAGCAACAGAGAAGCAAACTAGAACAGTCATGATAGTCACTTTGAATACAAAGGAAAAGCTATTAATTATTCCCCTATGACAGCATTTGAAGCAAGATAAGGAAAGCACCAGGCCATTAGGGAGTCTAGTGACAGGAGGACACAGTGTTCCAACAGAACACAGAACCCTCTTTATATAAACGTAGCTTATGGAGTGGAAATAGCAGTGGTAACAGGAAACTCAACCAACTGAAAACAGACAAGGCCTCTCAGGACATGGAATGACAAGCACCTGAGTGGCAATAGGACTGGGGTGGGAGACACTATGCTGAGACCCCCACGGTGCTCTCTCTAGAACACTCCTCTGTAACTGTCCTCCCATGACTGTTCTTCTACCACTCCCTCTCACTGCCCCCACACCACCCTCACTCACCCTGGCCTCGTCCATAGGACAGCTCCTGGAAAGGACCTACCTTCTGATGCTCTCTAATGGATCGAAAACCAGGAGACTTCATGTGGTGACCCCAGCAGCCCAGCCAGTCATCATTCCCTGCAGAAGGCAATCAGGAAGTCAATCTCACTTAATAGCTCAGACTCTGGACAGAACAAGGCCTCACAATTGGACTCAGAGGTGATTTAAGAGTTACCATGGGAGCTGCCCTACCTGAGGCCTCAGGACCAGGGCCAATTTGGAGCAACTGGCTCAGCCCAGAGGACTTTCAGAGGTTGGAAGCTTAAAGACAGGATCACCACATACAACAGGGCATCTCTAAGGCTCTCTTCCTGCCCAAAACCCATCTGGTAGGGTAAGGAGGTGAGTGGGGAGAGTAACTCACTCTTGCTGATTTTGAAGTGTGACCGTCCAATGGTCTGCTTGACAATGTTAGGGGTCACTGTGCTCATCTTCCACCGAAGTAGCTTCCTCTGTTCCCATGGAAGTTTTTCCACTGGGGAAAGGCAAGAGCAGAGGGTCACAGTGAGTAGATAAAAAAGATGGCAGTGGTGCCCATCCTTTCCTGGGCAGACACATCAGGTTTTTAAAAAGTGCATTTTATGGAAGGAGGGGGCTGTGAGGAGTGAGGAGCAAAGGAAAGGCTGGAAGGAGACAGAAACTGATTAGAGGCCATGTGCTAAGCTAGAGATTATAGACTGAGAAAGGCCAACAAAGGACAGACAGGAAGTCTACTACTGAACCTACTACATCCCGGTAGGAACTAAGCACAGGGCAATAACTACTTCAACAGCCATTCTGGAAGAGCTCTCCCACCTTGTCCCCTCCACCCAGGTTAGCTGGCATCCTCCTGGACTTTGTCCCTTGGTTACATTTACCTCTTTCATCCCGAGTTCCAAAATAGATGGTAGGGGATACATTGGGGAAGAGACTGTAGATGAGGGCTGGTCGTACAACTTTCTCATGACTGGGAAGAGATTTGGACATTAAATCCACACAGTTCCTGTGATGGAAAACAGAATCATTCTGCAAATATGAACTCATTCAGTACTAGAACTAACCTACCTATAGTTATGTATACCATTAAATGCCACTACCAAGAATCAAAGGTGCTAACACTTTTGATAGCACATCTCCAGCAGATCCTGTGATAAATTACAGGTTAGGAAAGACCCAGAAAGAGTTCTGAAAGTGGAGTCTGAGTGGACACTAGAAGACTGCTACACTACGACAAGTAGGGGAGAAAAAGGATGACAGTGATAACTAAAAGGAAGATACAGAAATGTTTTTATTTTGTGTTTTGGTTTCTTTGGGACAGGGTTTCTATGTAGCTTTGGCTGTCCTAGAACTCACTCCAGAGACCATGCTGGCCTCGAACTCACAGAGATCCATCTGCCACTGCTTCCCAAGCCACCCAGCCCAGTGAGGAAAGAGAAAAAGAAAGAAAAGCAACAGTAAAACTTCTACTCTGTTCTATGCTTTAGTTCATGTGAGAACATAGCTGGCTCTGTTCTCTACTTCTCTATTCTGTGGCAAGTCCTTCTCTACTCTGGTGGCAAGGCAGGTCTGGATCTCACAGATGAAGGAAAGAGGACACTGGGCCATGAAGGCTGTACTGCTGAGCTGACTCTCGATAAGCACCAGCCATCACTCAGGTACAAGGCACTGGCCCAAACAATTTCTTTAAATAAATAACACTGAAAAGTGAAGAAAAGTTTTCCTCTTTACATTGAACTGATATGAGCCACAAATACTACTCTAAGATTAATCTTCACATTGTAAAGAAGAAAAAACAAAACAAAACAATATATCTCAGTGGCAGAGCCCTTGCCTAGCAGACAAGGCCCTGAGCCTAATCCCTAGAACTGTGACAATACTTTTTTTTTTTTTTAATGTGTTTTTAAGACAGGAGTTTCTACACAAAGGCAAGGCTGGTCTCAAATTCCCAATCTCCCTACCTCAGCTTCTCAAGTGCTGGCATTAGACATGTGCTACCATGCCTGGCCAAACAAGGAAAACTGAAGAGAATGAGCTATGATACACAACAGAGACAAGGCAGGGGACAAGGTGGCACAGAAAGCATCTACCCCACAACTAGCAAATGCATTTCTAGATTCACATCTCCGAGAAATAAAGACTCGTGTGTTGCAGGATATGTGATCACACTGTGATTGTGTTATTTACTAGAAAAACCTGTTTCATGTGGCTCAACCCTAGCACACACCTTTAATCCAAGAGCTTTCTGCTTGGCTATTGCAAACAGGATTAAAATAAAGTCAACCATAGGTCAAGAGGTGGAGCAAGCAACCAGTTGACAGGAAGTGAACATAGGATATTAAGGGAAAAAAAAAAAAAAACAGAAAGTTTGTCAGATAGAGACAAACAGGAAGTAGAGGGAAGGGACATTCAGTTTGAAGAGTTTTTGAGATGGCTTCTGGGATGTCAGGAGGAGAAAAGGTCAGCCAGGTGCTTTCTCTGCCTAAATTAGCAGACTTTCACCCCAGCATCTGGCTCCCAAGTCTTTATTGGTAAAAATCGAGCTATTATAATAATGCTGCTATGAACATAGTTGAACCAATGTCCTTGTGGTATGAATGTGTATCCTTTGGGTATATTCCTAAGAGTGGAATTGCTGGATCTTGAGGTAAACTGATTCCCATTTTCCTGAGAAAATGCCATACTGATTTTCAAAGTGGCTATAAAAGTTTGTATTCCCATCAGCAATGGAGGAGTGTTCCCCTTTCTCCACATCCTCTCCAGCATAAACTGTCACTGGCATTTTGTTTGGTTTGGTTTTTTGAGACAGGGTTTCTCTGTGTAGCTTTGTAGACTAGGCTGGCCTCAAACTCATAGAAATCCATCTACCTCTGCCTCCCGAGTGCTGGGATTAAAGGCATATGCCACCACCACCCAGCCTGTCACTGGTATTTTTGATTTTAGCCATTCTGACAGGTGTAGATGGTATCTCAGAGTTGTTTTGATTTACATTTCCCTGATGGTTAAGAATGTTGAGCAATTTCTTAAGTGCCTTTGGCCATTTGATATTTCTCTACTGAGAATTCTCTATTTGGATCTGGACCCCATTTCTCATTTGGTGACTAGCTTCTTGAGTTCTTTGTATATTTTGGAGATCAGCCCTCTGTCAACTGTGGGTTTGGTGAAGACCCTTTCCCATTCTGTGGGCTGCTGTTTTGTGCAAGTGGAAGCCTGGACCCAAACTGACAGCTGGGGACCCAGCATAAGACCGAACCAGGCCCCCTGATCATGGGTGTCAGTTGGGGGGCTTGGGCAGTCATGGGGCCTCTGGCAGTGGAACTAGTATTTATCCCTAGTGCACGAATGGGCTTTGGGAGTCCATTCCCTATGGAGGGCTACTCTCTCAGCCTAGATACATAGGGGAGGGCCTAAGTCCTGCCCCAAATGATGTGACAGACTTTGATGATCCCCCATGGGAGGCCTCACCCTCCCTGAGGAGATGGGGTATTGGTGGGGGAAATGGGAGGATGGGAGGGAAAGAGAACTGGGATTGGTATGTAAAATAAGATTGTTTTTAATATAAATAAAAATTGATTTAAAAAATTGAACTATTGAGATTCTGTTATGGCAAACAGAGGTATTTAACCCACATCCAGTATCTGCAACCAGAACCAACTGCACTTTTTATGAAACCAAGACAGGGTGGGCTTAAAAAGACAAATTATGCAACAGGCTGAGGATACATATGCCTGGGTTTCTATTCCCTTCATAGAGAGAACTGATTTTATTTCTTCCATTTTCTAGATACCTCTGCCTCCACCTTGCTGGTTTAGTACTCTAGAGTCAATAAAGCTGCTGCCACACCATCACATTTATGAAGACATGGGTAGCTTTGGTCAGGCTAACCCAGTCGCAGGGGGTCCTCTCAGCTATAGGTAAAGCAGACTGGACACAAAGAAAGTAGCTAATGTCCCAGTATGCTGGGCAAGCCCTGATAGACACAGCTAGATTTTAATTAAAAAATGAGACCAAATATTTTTGCACTAAAACCAAAACACCAATTTCTCATTCTTTAAGTTTATTTTACTTTTCTAGTTTTTAAATATGTATAGTGTGTGTGTGTGTGTGTGTGTGTGTGTATGACTTCCAGTGTCATTCAAATCAGAGGACACTTGAAGGAGTTGCTTCTCTCTTCCACCACGTGAATTCTGGGACTTGAACTCAGGTCACCAGTTCAGTAGGCAAGTGCCTTTACCAGTGAGCTATCTTGCCATCCTTATTTTACATTCCTTTGTATTTTTAGAACAGAATAACCTTCAATATTCAATAATTTAGGAGTTCTTAAAAAAAATAACAATAAAAGAGTTTAGTTAATTAATGAAGACAGAGCGTAATTCTGAGGCAAGGTTGGAGGAGAAACAAAAAAGATTATGCTGGAGGTTGTGGTTTATTCTTTGCTTTTTGAGCCAGTATTGTATATAGGCTGGCCTGAAATTCACAGTATTTACCCAGCATCAGGTTCTGGAGTACTGAGATTAATACCATGGCACCTAGCACCAAAAGTGTCTTATTTGGGGCTAGAGAAATTGTTTCAGTTTGCAATAGATCTGAGTTCAGTTCCTAGCATCCATATCAGGCAACTCATAACTGCTTATAACAAGCTCCAGGAAACACAATACCTTCATTGGGACTCTACAGGCAACTGCACTGCCTTACACATACCCCATTAAAAATAAATCTTTTCTTAAAATGTTGTGCTGGTTTGTTTTTGTCAAAGTGATAAAACTGTCACACTGACACAAATCTAGCTACATCTGGGAAGAAAGAACCTTAACTGGGAATAGGCCTCTGTAGGACTGGCCTGTAGACAAGTCTGTGGGATTCTGGTTAATGACTGACGGGAAAAGACCCAGCTAGCCATCCCTGGGCAGGTGGGCCTGGGCTATCGAAGAAAGCGAGCTGAGAAAGCCTGGAGAAATAAGCCAGGTAAGATGTGTTCCTCCATGGCTTCTGTTTCAGTTTGTGACTTGAGTTCCTGCTCTGACTTCCCTTCATGATGGACTATGATGTGGAACTGTAGCTGACATGACACAAACCTCCCTTTCCCCAAGTTGCTTTTGGTGTTTTATCATAGCAATAAAAACCATAACTAACACAAGTGCCTTTTTGCTTATTTTTAATTTTTGTAACTTTTATTTATTTGTGTGTATATATATTGGGAGATGCACACATGCTTCAGTGTATATGTAAATGACAGAAAATTTTGGGGGAGGAGATTGGTTCTGTTCTCCCAACATGTGGGTTCCAGGGATTGAACTCCAGTTGTCAGGCTTGGAAGCAAGCACCTTTACTTTCTGAGCCACTGTTTGGTCCAAATGTGTTTGAAATAAGAGCACTTAAACAAGTTCTAAAAGCCTCTTACAGAATAGAAGGCTTTCACTATCTCTTGACATAGCATTCCAAAGTATTTGCTCTATACAAGGACTTAAATGGCAGGACATAATGTGCACACCATTAATCATAGCATTCAGGCAGAGATCTCTGTGAGTTCAAGGACAGCCTGATCTACATAGAAAGTTCCAGGGCAGCCAGGGCTATGTAACAACCCTGTCTCAAAAAAATCAAAACAAACACTTCTTAAACTATAGCTGTACACAAAAACAAACCAGAAACTTGGTGAGAATGAATTAAGGTTCTCAGGGCCAGTTAGGATAAGGTCAATACAAATTTCAAGTTTAAGAAATGAGCATCTGCCAATGATATGCATAGCACTCACCGAGATATTATTGCCACCGACTCACTGGGGGAGATAATACTTAAGGAAGAGCACTCTGAGTTTCCTGTAGAGGAAGAACAGAGAAATCCTCACTAAAAGACGGTGCTGCATGTGCGCCCTCGTCAAGCCCAGGCAACTATTTCTGTAATATCCTGGTTGTCAGTCCTTCTTGGGGGGGAGCAATGAGCACCGCCTCTGTTCTGCACTGCATTCCTTGAACTTAACAGATGAGAGGAGCCAAGACCAGTGGGACAGAGACCAAAGTTCCTCACAAACTCCTAAGTTAGGCCCCCAAAGCAAATGACTGATTCAGGATAATGCCAGTCAAGCCTGGCACACACTATCATCCCTCTTCCCTAGTGGATAGTGACCAAACCCCATAGTTAGAGGCAAAAGGATTCTTTACTTACCCTCCTCTTCTTCATTTTCACCATGACTGCAGCAATCTTCCAAACCATCTCCTAGTTCATCTTCTGTATCTTCAGGCTCCACCTGGTTTGGCCGTAGGTCAGTAGCTGAACTGAAAGAAAAGAATCATGCCTCCACCCAAGCCAACTCCATAAAAAGACATCACACTGGAGTCTCATTTCTTCACTGTCTCCTCATCACTAATCTGTTATCTCTTGCTTGGACCTCATAAACTATTTCTCAGGTCCTTCAAATTTAGGTCCAGCCACAGTTCCTCAGCTTTATACCTCTCAACTGCATATCATTTTCTCTGAAGTCTCTTAACAGTATGTAAGTTTAAAATTCTGCATACAAAAGTCATCAGTGAGTATCTGGTAATTTATATTTCCTTGGTATGCTCGCTGGGAACTCAGAAGGCCTTGGTGGATCAAAGTTCTAGAACAGTAACAAGACGTAAGAGAAGGAACCAACTATGTCTATATCTTCAACTCTGAATTGCTGTCATACCAGGAATGCATGGAAATGCAATTTGGTTTGGAGTAAGCAGAAAAGTCACAGACCCTAAGATGTGTTACTTCTCCCCTGGTAATAACCTAAAACAGGGATGGGTGAACTCTCCAAAGGAACTATCAATAAATATCTTCAGTTTTGTAGGTCATTCAGTCACAACTTCCCAACTCTACTGTTGTAGCAAGAAAGCAGCCAAAGACAACAGTAAATAAATGATTTATTTAGTCTGTGAGCTAGTTTTCCTTCCCCACCTTAAAATGAATCCCTATGTTAGAGTAAAAACTAGAACTTGTAGGACAGCTAAAAATAAAGCCAATTATAGAGATCGAGGGTGGCAGTGCCCCCAGATTATGCTGTAACTACTGTATTGCTCTAAATGAACCAAAGACAGGGTGCAACTTACCAACGACTTATAGGACATGAGCTCAGCTCCTTGGCTTCCTCAGGCTCCTTCTCAGGCTGGCCAAGATGGACAGAAGAAAGGCGAGTGGCCACTTCGGCTACATCAAGAGGCTGGAGGGAAGAAGGGGGAACAGGAGTTCTGTCTTCTCCAAATGATTGGGGGTCAACTACAGACCCACAGGTAGGGCTGGGGTTGAGCCCATGAACATGTGAGGCCAGGAGGTGAATGCTGATCCTTTTGGTACAAAAGACTGTACTGTCCAACCCCAAGGTGTCGGAGGCACCAGGAAGGATCTCACTGTCTAATCCAGTATCTTCCTGAGGAAACCGTTGGCCCATCAGAGGTTTCCACCGCCTGCTTCTGTTGAGAAGACCCCACTGGAAGCTGGGGTTCACAAAACAAGCCTGTTCAAACTGGTAGCCTTGCCGTGGCATCTTCTCAAAGCCTTTTGCAGTCAATTTCCTCACAGCTTCAGTGAAATGCACCTCTTTAGTAGCACTGTGGGAATCCAGGTTTTCATCCAGGCCACAGGGATGTGCCTCCATCCTAAAGTTACTCTGACTGCACTGGGAAGAGGGAACACTGGCTGTGGATATGTTGAGGGTGCTAGGGGTAGATGGGGTGTCAGGGGCAGTGGAATCATCTAAGATAGTGCCAATGCTTTGGGGTACCTTATGGTCACCAGGCTGAGGTACACAGTCTCCAGTACCCCCTGAATGATGCCAGGAGACAGGCTGGATCTTGGGTGAGGATACTGGCTTCAGGCCATCTGTGGCTTGTGATAAGGGCACTTTAGTGCTATTTGGCCTCATGAAGGAGTTGTTGTTCAGCATGGGCTTGTAGGAAGACAGTGGAGATGCAATCTTCCCTGAGATGGCAGAGGACAGGCTCTTCCTTGAAGGATTCTCCCCAGCTGCTGCCAGTGAGAGGTATGGATCAGTGGGTGAAGATGCCATGGGTTGAGCCATGGGGAAGACTGTAGAAGATGTGACTTTATTGGCAGTGACACTGACAGGGATACCCTTCTGAGAGAAAGAAAAAGATCTTTTCTCTGATGGGCTGGAGCGCAAGCAGAAAGATTCCAGTTGCTGGTATGGTTTTTGCCTCACGTTGGTGCGGCGGTACAGCAGAGTATTGTTGAACAAGTCAGGGAGAGATTGCAGGTAACAGGGATTGCTGTGGCCTGCAATGACAGCTGTGGTCCCAGAGTTACATAAAGTGCTAGGGCAAAAGAAATAGGCTGGCTGGGGTTGGACTCCCAAGAGACTGGTGCCCAGCCCTGCTGACAGTGTGCCTACGTGCTTCCTTTCCAGTTTCCAGATTGGCTTCACCTGCTGATGGGCCTGAGACCAGACTTTGACTTCCGAGGGTTTTTCAGGTGATGAAGCAGACACTGTGCCTGAGGGACGTCTCTGCTTGAAGCTGTTTCCTCGGCGCAGGCCAATATTGTAGTGCTCTGTTCCTGCTGAGGCCATGAGGGGCCCACATCATGGCAACATGGCCTCATGGCCTGGCTCAGGTAAGGTGCCACACACCTCTAGCACCAGCTGCATACTTGAATCCGTCAGCCTGCAGGGAGAGAAATGATTGGAAATGCTGCTGGCTTGTAAGGATGGGTCCTATGCTACGGAAGTAGTAGGGTCTTGCTTCCACTTTAGTGACCAGTCTTGGTCATCATTGGGGTCCAGGGAGAACACATTTCCAGAGAGCTTCTGGAGGCCTTCCTAGGATCAAATCTAGCTTTATCAAGGACTAAGACTGCAAGGGTCCACTAGTATGAGGCTGCTCATGTGTCCATACTCTCAGAAAGCTGCCTCTCTCCAAAAAGTAGTAGTTGTGGGTGGATATGATCAACACACACACACACACACACACACACATATATGGAACTATCAAAGAAAAAAGTTAAGGCATTTTTTTTTTTTAAGTAACTATTTATCACCATCCCAGACTACACCTGAATGGCTACTTTCTGTACCAAATATGGCAGCTCTGGAAGTGGCAAAGACCAGCCTGTTCTCGCCTCTCAACTCATACAGAAAGCTCAAAGGTATCCAAAAATGCATGTGCTCTATTTTTCTGTACTCCAGCTCAACAGTCTTTACCCTGGTTCCGCCCCCTCTTTTTTTTTTTTTTAACAAGACGAATTCAGAGAGAAACAGAAAATCTCCCAGCTACCTTGAAATTTGTTTGAACAGAGACAGTAATTTCAACTCTTCAAGAATCTTGTCAACCATTCAGACTAAAATTCCAATCCTTATACTGATCAGAAACAAGAACTGAAGTAAACACCAACACTATCTTACTTACAGTGACTTTATCCTCTGTACCCATAATGGGAGAGAGAACTAAGGGAGCGGCAGAGAAGCAAGAAGAGAACAGCACATTCCACTCCAGGACCCAGACTGTAGTTTGGTGTGCTCTGAGGTGGAGAACTTGCCTTGTGTGTCTTCTTTCAAATTTTTTCCTAAAGCAGTATGTCCCCAGCCTTGTCTGACAATTTCTTCAGCACATGTGCTGTCTTACAAAGTCATCGGTAGGGCTTGACTATAGTCACTGTCTATAGAACTCACAAAACATTCTCTAGCTTTCACAGATGTGGGGAAAGGTGAATCTGCCTGCATGAGCACAGCCAGAGGGAAATAACACCTTTCTAGTCACTCCAGATGATGGAATCCTAACATCCCTAGCAAGAGGGCTAGAGAAAAGGAAATTTTTGTTCTAGTTGCATTTATGATATAAAAATATAAAAATAGGAGATTTTATATTTTGATCAGAGTATTGTCCAAAATCCAAGATTTCTGTCTACAATTTACTAGAGAGAAGATACCAACAAAGAGCCTGGAGAAGTCATGTGACATTGCCCTCCTTTCCTAAAAATGCTGACCTACAGGGAGTCCTTTTCAAGAATACAAAAACATACAACACGACAAAACAGTGGTGAGCTAAAAACAGTGTAAGTGTTATAAACAGTATTGAGGTCAGTATCCTCAAAAAGAGATTAAAAAAAAAAAATGCAACTCCACTCAAGTCCAAATGATGGAAACAGTGTTTAGAGGACACTTACCCTGTACACATAAAATAGAGAAGGCTAACACTGAAAGAGTTAAGCCCTACCGATGACTTTGTAAGACAGCACATGTGTACATGTGTATGAATGCTGGGTACACTCAAAAGACTCACAATTCAACTTTTTTCAGGAACCCACATCTTGCTCTACCAATGCAACACAATAGATAACCCAAAGCAATAGGACATAAGAGCTAAGGAAAGAAAGCCTAAGGCTGATGTCCCCTGAGAAGCAATTCCACTAATGACTCCCCATTTACCTCTATGCTTTTATAAGTTCTGGTCCAAGGCTTCATGGGTGAAGTGTCTAAGAGTATTTCATAGATTTCTCACCATTACCACAGACAGTCCCACTTTCCCCCACAGCTGTCAGTCAAATCACTGCATACTTCCTCAGAGCTAGACAGCTGGATGAAGAGACCTTCCTTCTGAACATACTACTCACTTTTCCTTCTCTGCAGGCCACCAGGTAATCCTCTGTGTTGTGAACAGTGAACATAGTTTGCTCTTTGAGCTTGAAACTCAATATGTAAACCAGGATAACCTCTAGCTCAGATGTTACTTGCCTGTTTCCCAAGATCCGGGATTAAAGGTGTGTGCCACTACACCTGGCTTGCCTTTTAATACAACTAAGAAAGAGTCAAAGGCTAAGGGCAGTTTGCTCCCACATGGTGTCAAGCTGGCAAGCTGAGTTAGCTCCAGTGTAGGTGAACTCTTTTCTCTTGAGAAAAGATATCATGAGTATCTGATGAGATACTCATGTCTCTGAGACAATCATTTCTACTTCCTCTGTTGTCTTATAAGTTTCATGCTGTACAGGATAACAACCTAGAGGAAGGCCTTTGTCTTTAAGAAAAGTGCCTGTACATAGGTCCAGGGAGGTGAGATGGTTTCTTTAATTATGACAGAGTTTCACAGCTCATAAGAGACATCTAGGGATGGTTAACAAGGCGGTGTCACAAAGTGCCAAACAAAGACAAATCTGCAGTCATGTACTCTGCAGACAATGGCTCCCAAGAACAAACAGTGCCACTCCACAACAGTATCACATAGAGGTACCTCAATCTGATTTTAATTCACAAGTAGTTCCGACTCAGACAAGGAAATGATATTTGCTAAAAGCAACTTCTTTCTCTTTGTGGAATTTCCTAGTGAAATCAAAACTCAGTGTCATGGGAAGCAGAGTTAATGACAATATTCAAGCAGCCTGTGTCCCCACCACTGCCCAGCGTCTACAGGAATGTGTCAAGCTTAGGTTTGAACAGGTCCAAATTCTAATAATTTGAGGAAATAAAACTATTTCAAATCAGTTTGAAAATAGTTTCAAAAAGCTAACACACCAAGAATGGTGAGTTCTAGCTGGATATATTGGTACACACCTTTAATCTGAGCAGAGGGGGATGGGGGATAGAAGCAGGCAGATCGCTGAGCTTGAGGCCAGCCTGGTCTACACAGTGAGTTCCAGGACATCCAGAACTATACAGACAAACCTTGTCTTCTAATAAAACAAAACAAAAACAAAAAGTGCTGAGCTCCACTATGGAGTTAAAGTCCACACAGGCAAATACCCTCACAAAGCAGCTTTCTGCTGGGTTAAGCCCATCTCCTCAAGTCTCTTGATTTTACATGCAATGCCATTTCTCAAGCTTTTTCCCCCGGCACCCCCTACCCCTTAAATTTGTAAGTGTGCTGTGATGGCATACTCTGTTTGTCTGTATGCTGTTAGGACTCAGGGAATGGACTTGGACTGCCCTTCTCCTAAGCAAAACATTAGGATGAGCCCCTGGGGGAAAGGGGACAGGGAGAAAAGATACCTACGTGGAAGGGCCATGCATAGACCATTAGTAGAAGTGTAGAAGTCTTCCTTCACAAACACCCAATTTAGCCAGGTGTGTTAGTGCACGCCTTTGATCCCTGCATTCAGGAAGCAGATGGCTCTCCGAGTTCAAGAATAGACTGGTCTACACAGTGAGCTCTAAGTCAGGCATGGTAGCACATGTCTTTAATCTCAGCTCTTGGGAGGCAGAGCCAGCCAGGTACAGCTCTGTAAATTCCAGGCCAGCCTGCATAGTTTGTTCCAAGCCAACTAGAGCTACATAGTGAGACCCTGTCTCAAAACAAAGAAGCAAACCTCCCTCCCACCAAAAGAAAAAATCTTAGCATGCACATGGTGTACACACATACATGTAGACAAACTGATACACATAAAACAAATGTTTAAAAGTAGCCAACTTAAATCAATTTCACAAATACAGTTGATAATTAAATTAAAAAGAATTTTCTGAGGCTGGAGAGATGGTTCAGTGGTTAAAAAGCACTAGTTGCTCTTCCAGAGGACCAGAGTTCAATTCCCAATACCCAAATGATAGCCCACAACTGGTGGTGCACGCCTTTAATCCCAGCACTCGGGAGGCAGAGGCAGGCGATCTCTGTGAGTGCGAGGCCAGCCTGGTCTCCAGAGTGAGTGCCAGGATAGGCTCCAAAGCTACACAGAGAAACCCTGTCTCAAAAAAAAAAAAAAAAAAAAGCCCACAACCATCTGTGACTCCAGTTCCAGGGAATCTGTTGCCTTCTTCTGGCCTCCACAGGTACCAAGCTCATATGGACATACACGCAGGCAAAACAGCCATACACATAAACTAAAATTTTAAAAAGAGAATTTTCCATAAACTATTATTTTCATACTTTTAAAACCACACACACACCCCTTAAAGACAAAGGCATTTGTACTCATCATCTCTGTCCATAACCAAATGACCAACCAACACTGCCTGACCCTCCTATCAGCTCCTTGCAAAGAACTTACTAAGGGAGCCAATAAACTGAGCTCACCTGGAAAAGAGCAGTTTGAATAACATAACATTTATGGAGCCAATGAAATTGCATGATTCTTGTCCCTATATATCATCCTTGAGGAACAAATCAGGAGCTCTAAGAGGAGGAGGGTGTATAGACACTGCGCTACTGCCTGTGGAGTTCAAGTTTAAAAAAACACAAGTCTGTTTCTGTGGCTAAGTTCCTCCATGGAGGCCCAAAAGGGAAACTGCCCAGCCAAAAGGAAAGTAAAAGTTAACTAAGACCACAGTAGTAGTTGAGAGAATTCTTGGAAAGTTCCCCTGGAAAACTTTCAGGGCATCTGAGTCTATGTGTGTAAAACCAAAGGGCTGGAAGAATACACACTTCAGTTGTTAGTGGAGTCATCCTGGGATGAAGGATTGGGCAGGGGAAGGGAGGGGGATATCTGGTAATTTACTTCAAGACACCTGCATTGTCTGACGTTTCAAACAAAAACACGCATTACTTGTGCGAAGTTTTCCAGAAGTCTCCAGGGTACTCATTCTTTTCCCAGCCACGCTGCATTAGCAGCTACCACCTCACAGGAGCTCCTGCCAAGCAGAGTCCTGGTCAGCAGTTCATCACATTCAGTACTCAGCAATTAGTCACTTTCAATGCTGGGCCTCACAGTTGCAGTATTCTGGGGAGTATTCTGCAGTATTCAG